GCCCCAAAAAAAAACGGCCATTCCTTTGACCAGGGGCCCTGGGGGGGATTTTTTCCGCCCATTCACAGGGCCCAAAAGGATTTTGTGGAGTAAAAACACTTCCCCCCCCGGGAAGGATAAAAACCCCAACCCGTTAGCGGGATTCTTGGGTTACCACGACCGGTTTTTAGCGCCAGGGGCCCGAGGAAAAGGGGGGGGGGGGGAGGGGTGCAGCAGGGCAGCGTCAGAGAGGTGAGAGAGCGACAAAAAATAAAACTGTCGCGTTGCGGTGCGTGGTGTGCAAATCTGTGTTTTGTCGGTGGGGGGCGTGCTTGTGTTTTTCAAGCTTTAGCTGTTCGACCATTGACCACGCGTCCTCGAGAGGATGCAGCGCCTCCCGTGGGGGGTGTACTCAAAGTCGTGCAGGCCGGAGTCGTTAGCCCATTGACCTCACATCCCTACCAAGCCGGGACGGGGGGGGGGGTCTCCTTTGAATTAGGAGAAGTGTAAGGGGCAAGGAGCACTCTTGAACCACGACCCACCAAAAGAGACGAAATCCAAAAGATGCAGGCAAAACAACCAATGGCCAGAACTCGGCAGCCGCGTAACTCGCTCACCTGCCACGCGCGGGACTTCAAAACACATGAGATGATGCTTATCTAACTCCACATGCCCCTTCATAGGAAAACCCATAAGGTGGTTGAGGTTCATGCAGAACTACTTCCATATACGACCACACGTAAGACATGCAGCTGCGGTTGTAATTCAAGCGCACCTGTGAGACGGCATGTATCAAACTCCCAGATTCCACCATAAGATATCCCACGGGTGGTCTTGATGCATACGTAACTATTATAACTCCAAACGCATCCGAAAAGAAAAGACGGAGGTGTGGTTGTGATCCATGCGAGCGCACCTATCGCATAGCGAGATCCACAAGTTGTGATCAACTCATACAATAACTAACTCCCAACGAGACCAAAAGACAACGCATAAGGTGGTTTGCAATTGATTCACGCGAGCGCACCTGTCGTAGAGGGGCATCCACACGTCCGGGTCGTTGACCGTCGTGGAGAGCGCGAAGAGGTTCATGAACGCGCTGCCGAGGGTGGTGAACGGGGCGTCCTTCACACCGTGGTAGAGAACCACGCACACGCAAGCGTAGGCCAGGGTGACCAGCAACTCCAGAACGAGGACGGGCAGCAGCGCGCTCACCGCGTGGAGGGTGGAGAGGGAGTTGTTCCGGACCTGA